AATTACCCGTTTGTGTGTCGCCGGCTTGAACAAAGCGCTCCCTTGTCTGGTCCACTTTGTGCGTTTGTGGGCCTCTGCAGGGTTAATTAGAAGTGCAAACACTCTTCAGAGATGATGCACAAGTTGTGCAACTAATAAAACCGGTTCAGTCGATTATTTCAAGCGACACGAGGAGCAGTTTGTGATCGTGCGCACGCGTTGTCTCGGGAGGTTTTAGTTGAATATCATTTCTTGGCGTGTGCAGCCACGCCACACAGCTGAGCGCGGCGGAGAATGAATAATGCAGGGAGTGGCAGCGAATCGGCGGATCAAAGATGCATGTGTTTGTGAATGTGTCCGGGTCTTCCATGTATATTTTAGTGAATTTGCTTGCCTATTTCTGTCGCTGCCAGCGTAGCAAAAAAAACAACTAGAGAGAGGTGATTCACAATCTCATAAGGGATGGGAGCAGGAGGAGGAGGAGGAGGGGAGAAATATAAGATGAGGGCAAATGGAGAGGTGGCACGGAAAAGGAAAAGAGAGGAGGATGAGGGAGGAGGCACCTAAAGAGGAAATGATAAAGAGGAGAAGGAAGACAGTAGGAGGAGGAGGAGGAGGAGTGACCTTGGATGCTAAATCACAGTACATGGTTATTGCTGCGGCTAATAGAGATATAGTACAGTGACTGTGAAAAGAAAGAGAGGCTGGGAGGTCAGGTAGAACCCCGGCGAGAATTGCCAAAGGATTTGCGGTGAGCAGAGCTGATTGTCTGTAGAAATACAGAGGAGGTAAAAGGAGACAAAAGGCAGAGAGGAGATGTGCAGAGTGAACAAACATATCTTAAAATGCAAGTCATATGGTAAAAAAAAAAGGTGCCAAGAAAGAGGTTGAAGGAGGAACAAAAGAGGAGAGCAGCGCTGCAGATTTGGGTAAAAAAAAAAAGGTAGAGGGAGAATCACAAAGCGATGAAAAGGGCAGAGGATACGGACAGATAAGAGGGAGCGACTGATCAGCGAAAAGAAGGAAATCTGTTCATAAAGGAGGGATGGAAGAAGAATAAGGAGGATAGACTGGAGACTGGAGGATCGGAAAAGAGCTGAAAGGAAGGATAGAGGGAAGGATGGATGGGAGGACGGGCGGAGGTATTGAATGGCAGGATTAGAAAAAGAAATGACAGAAGGATTCACTCAAGGTGTGTGAGTCACGGTCGCACAATGGACGACCAATTGAATAGTTTGTTGTCCCAGTTTGCCGACCGCAGGAAGGATTCTTCTGTTTTAAAGTGAATCCACACAAACACAAGCTGGCTTGGCGCAGGATAATTCATAATGCGGCCGCGTATCAGGGCGTAGAAGGGGAATCAGCATGAATATTACTTTAGTGATACAGTTTCTTTCGGAGCATCCAATAACGCACACAGCAGTATATTGGCTACATTAATCTGAGACGCTGAGCGACGGGGGAAAAGGAGGGAACAGAAATTACATGAATAACAAGTATGAATTAACCCTCTGAGTCCCAAACAGGTTTAGGGTTTTTTTTGTGCTCCTGCTGCTTTTTTTTAGACACTATGGGTGCATTTTTTTTGTACTGCACTGTAAAGTCCTGCACCTCTATGGAAACAGCATAGAAGTAGAGCGAACTCACATCTCTTGTGTGCAGGATAACACCGTTAGAATGACAAGAATCATAGAAAGTAAAAATTGAAAGCACATTCTTTTGATTATTTGTTTCACAAACATTTAGAAAAAAAACTTTTCCAAGAGCTCACAGGTGATGCTAATACCAAAAAAAAGAAGCTGACCCTATATTATTAAATTTTTTATTTGTTTCCCTACTTATCTCAGACTTGCTTTGTGTAAACACAGCCTGCAGTTCAGTGAAAACATCCCAGATTTTTTGCCACTTGACTGTTGATCACAGCTGTGTCAGTAATAGCTTCCTGCTAACGCTAAAGAAAGCAGAATTTTTTCATTTTGATAGAATCTTGCGAGTGGCAAATGGTTTAGTTATGGCAAACGTTTAATTCAGACTCGTAGGTTAACAGGATTTGGTTAAATATCTTGATTTTTTAGCTTTTTTCTTGACGAAACCGAAAGTCGCGCACTTCAAGAGAGTCGTGATTCTTCCCGTGTTTCCAGATTCTTACTATGATAAACGGGGTAATGTGGGCAATTTTCCACATAACAGCCTTTCAAACCCGCCAGCAGGTCACAGGATTCAGGGGGTTAATATGAATCCCAGTCAGAGAGAAATGATGTTAATATAACCCTTTCTTACACTGAATCAGCCCCTCGTTGGAGCACACGACTCCCCACTGTGCCGGTCAAGTCTCTCCGCCTCGCACGATCTATCATTTACACACAGTGAAGGCTCTGGATGGACCGACACCATCATAATAATTCTCAGGGCCTTTTAAAAGCCCGTAATATGACCAAGGCTTTTTACTCGGGAACAGAGCGAGCGGTGGCGTTGCGAGTGCTGCTCCTTGCGCGTTTCATGGTGGAAATCTGATTGAGAAGCCACTGTCTTTAGTGCAGGAATTTATTGAGTAAATCACAATCCCCTGGTGTGACTGATTGCTCCAGAGTCTTTCATTTTGGGTTTTTTCCTCCCTGAGATATTTGGTTATATTTGGCGACACTTCTGAGCTCGCTGTAGGAATATAAAAAGTACTGACTCAAACCCTTTTGAACCGCTGCCCGTCCCACTCTTCGTTAATGCTCCGTTGTTATGGGTCCTCCAAATACCGCTGCTGCCTGATGCTTTAAAGAATAACAGCAGTGTGAAGGAATTAGGTGAAGCAAACCAATTAAACTCAACAGCAAGAACAGAAACTAGCATTCCCTGGGGGACGCCTTTAGCTCTTTTTTAGACCAGATAACTGTTAAGCTGCGCCGTCTGCTTGCAGTTTTTCTCGTGTTGTTTGCACTTTTGGACAATTTCGGTGTCTTGTGTTCACCTTTCGAAACACAAAATGACTAATGTCCTGCGAAATGAAGCATGCGAGCTGATTGGCCGTGAGTGTCTAAACGTGCGGCGGTCGCGAGAGGAGATGCCTCCGCTGGAATTGCTCCACCGTTGAGCCAATTAATGAGCCTTTGCCATGGAAACATACACCTGGTCCCTAAGTAGCTCCAGTGCGGAGGAGGAGTTGACTGGCAAATGTGTGACTGTGTCAGAACGGAATCTATAGCAACCTAACGACCGCTGGATGAGGATGATTTTAATGAGAATGCCCCAAGTGTCTGCTCAGATTATACTGGAACCTGGAGAGTTGGACACTACATTGTAATTCCTTATTAAAATCATACTGAGCCTCCTCTGGAAATAAGCATTTTGGAGGTATTTCTGTGCCGGTCCTTGCTATTCAAACCTCTCCAGGCCATTTGCTAAAGTGTTGTAACTGAGTTTGCAACACTCTTGTTCTTTGGGAGGGGTGAAAAAAAACATAAAACAAATAATTCTACACTTTACCTGTGCAAGAGTTGAGATTCTGGGCACCGGTTCAGAAAATTTCAATACTGTTAACTTTTAAGCCTCGAGAAGAATCTGTGATCAATATTCATACGTAGCAATACCATAACCCAGATCCACGACTGGGTCTTGTAGCTTGCCTTAAGTAGGCCTGTCTATTATTTCCCAGCTAACTTTTTAGTATTCAGGAAAGCTAATCCCATCACTCCATCCCACCAACGCCGATACATGAGAATTGTCAATCGGGTTTGGTTTGAGAAACTCGGTTATATAACGGCAGCTAATTATACCCAATGCAAGACAGAAGAAAAAACACAAGTAGAGTAGCTGCTGCTGGCCCTGATCTCTTTATTTTGAATGCATTATAAACCGATTAAGGTTAGAGGCCTTCTGCGGCAGCTCCCTGGATGTCTGAGTCATCCTAGATGGCATTTATAGGATGTAGCTCAAGTCTGAGGGGAGCCGGGACGGTTAGCAACGTACGATACAAATAAGCCCTTTGATGTGCTGTGAAAAGGGAGAGAAAAATAGGAAATTGGACAGCCAAAAACAAAAAAAACAATAATGCAAAAAAAAAAAAAAAAGGATTCGCTGACAAAATATTCATTTTAGCAACACAAAACTGTACAAACACATTCTTGCCCACACAAGAGGGCAAAGTCATTCCCATCAGCGACAGACACTTGAGGTGCGCTCCAGTCTCCCACACACACTTTACTCCAGCATGTCACACACACACACACAAACCCACTGCTGGCAAAAATACTCACATATTTATTCCAGCATGTCATGATTACAAACATAAAACCACAAACGCGCCGAGCCGAGCGCGCACGGCTTACGGAAATCTCCCCGTTCTCATCGCCACCTTTTCTTTATTGTTTTCCCCCCCTTTCTCCCTCTCTCCATTGTTCGCCTCTCCCCCCATTTGTTAGTTCTAACAGCTGTTAGAACACTTAAAATGAGGACGCATTCAGAGCACTTCTCTCTTTATTATCCCACGCAAACACTCACTCATTACAGACGCGCACGGGCACGCGCCGGCAATCAGAAAGACAATAAAAGCCCACCTTTGCTTGTGATTAATCCTAATTTACAACATTCTTCTCGCCAAAAACGCATCGACTCCGCTGTATTTCTGAACCGTGAAGCCTAAGATGGCCACTTATTTTTAAAACGCAAGGTTCCACAAAATGGCTTGACGTTTGCTTCTCGCAGGGACTCGAGTACAATCACGTACACATATACGCAGCCCTGCTCTCCAAATGAGTAGACAGAGTTCTCTTTTCATGTTCCCCAGGCGCGCTCTCCATCAATAGCCTCATTTTCCCTCTCTCCCCCTACTGCAGTATCCACCCCTGTGCTGTTTCCAGCCATCCTTTCATTCCCCTTCCCCTCTGCTTCTGTTCCACTATTCAGCCCTTTATCCTTAATTTCACAATAGTCAGAATAGTCAAGGTTGGGCTTCATGTTGCTGCATTTAACCTCCCATGTTCCTGCACATTGAACTGACTTGTATTCCTCTTCTCTGAATCCCTCTTTAGAATCCTCCCATCGACCAGTGACCGCTTCCTATTGAAGAACCTGGTCTCCGGTGTGGACTACAACCTGTGCGTGCTGGCTATCTTTGACGACACAATCACATCACTGGCCGCAACGAAAGTCCTGGGCTGCACCACGTTCTCCACCAAGGATGTTTACCCAGCATGCCGCTCCCTCCAAGCCCACTTCCTGGGCGGGACGCTCACCATACTGGTCGGCGGCGTCGTCGTGGTCACCCTGCTTGTGTTTACCGTGGCGCTCATGGTTCGCCACCGTGTTTGCAACCACGGCGACCACATGATATGTCACAACAGCAACACGGAGGCAGGAGGCGGGGCCTGCTGCCAGGGCGGAGGTGTAGGAGGCGGAGACAAAGGGGGGAACAGCAGCGGGTGCTACCAATCAAACGGTTCTGGAGACATGATGATGGTGGTTCTGCCCAATGGTCTGCCCTCTAAGAGAGGAGGGGAGAAGGACAAGGACAAGGAGAAGGAGAAAGAAGCAGCCGACTCTGCTTCTTCTCTGCCTCCCAAACTGCCTCCAAAGCCCAGGCCAAAGCCCAAAGTCAACCTGGAGCAGTTTCTTTCAACTGGGGGGGTGGTTTCCACGACGACGGGAGCAGGAAGTGAGATGGCACTGGTGGTGAGGCAGCGGAAGCTGGAGAAGGCGCCTCCGTACAGCGCGGAAAGCGACAGAACTCCCCTCTACTACTCCCCCTCTCCTCCATCCACCCTGCCCCGTCAGTCCCGTTCCAGGGAGCGCCCCAGACCCCGTCTGGAGCGAGAACTGACCAATCGCGCCAGTTTCTCTCTGGCGGCACCCCTCAGAGACTCCGAGCTGTTGGACTGGAGAATCACACCCAGGGGTAGGGACAGATGGAACTCCTCACAGGCTTATCAGAGCCCTGTATCCCCTCTGAGCCCCGCCTGTGGCACCGTTAGCAAACGGCGGCACTCGCTGGACATGGGCTCCTCTGTCGCCCTGGCGACTGATGCTGCGGCGACGGTCGCCAGGCGGTACGGTGCTGTCAGTTACGCCAAGCGGCTAAGCGTGATCTGGACGAGGCGGAGTCAGTCGCTTCATGGGATGCTGGTGCAGTGCGCCTCGACCACGAGCACGACTTCGTCAACGACCAGCGACGAGGGAGACAACGGAGGGAACTATGGGGCTCACTGCGATTTCCAACGCGGATACATCCACGCTTACAACACCACCAACTCCAACTCTAACACTGGGATCACCACTGGGAAAGCAGGCAGTGTAAAAGACAAGAGCAGAGAGAAAGGGAAGGAGGGAAAGAGCGCTGAGGAACTGGAGGAGAGTGTTGTATAGGGGTTGTGGAGCGGAGCAAAAACTGGAGTGGGATAAAGGGTTCTGTGAGAGGACAGTTTGAATGGGATGTTGATTTGAGAAGGTCAAATAGGGTGAGTCTGAAGAGAAATTGAGGGAGAAGAAAAGGGAAGATGAAGTGATTGTAGATAAGGAAGGGAAGGTTGTGAGTTCAGAGGGAGGGAGAAGAGTAAAATTGACTTCAGTCTCACTTATGCAGCTCCTTGATTTGTCCTGCGAGAAGTTCAGAAAAAAAACGGAGAGGAGAAAGTACACCGGGAAGTGAGGTGAAGATTTTTAAGAGGCTCTTTTAGTGACCTGAAGGGAGATGGGCAGAAATATAAGTGCGGAGATAGATGGAGAGAGCAGCAGCAACAACATCGCGGGAGAGGGTTTAAAAATGGTCTTTAAATACTCAAGGCTGAGCCGTCTGTGATACAAGATGAAAAGAAAGCAGCAAAACACAACTCAAAAATCTCAACAAAGGAAGCGACAAATGTGGCATGAGAGCGTGCGAGCGGTATATGGTTACAAAGAGAGGGAGAGACGTAATCAAAGAGGGGGAAAACATCAATAGAACAACAGAACAAAGGTTATATGGCAGAGACAGAGATGTCGTGAGCTCAGCGTGGATCTCGGTAAAGCCTATACACTAATAGAACCAGACTTTTGCTAACACTTCAATTCTCCAGAGAGCCAGCCCCCACACCACCACCAGGATTTACACTGGATCAAAAACAACAACAACACGAGTGGTAATACTGGAGAAACGCTCTTCTGTAACAAAAAAACGTTTAAAAAAAAAAACAAAAAAAAGAAGGGTTTGGATGGCGTCGCCCTGCTTTGTTAATTGGCTTTTGACTCCAACACTGGCAGCCATTTTAAAACTCTTTTCCAAAACGCAATGAATGTGACTTTTATGTGTCCTCTGTGTCTGGACAATGATTTTGGCTCGCTGTGCCTGTGGATTATGGGAGTATAAATACAGAGCCGGGTGCATTGGACACGATCAATCGATACGGGCTGGAAACAGCCAGTGCAGCACAGACATTATTAAAAGAAAGACATTGGGATTACAATGGAGTCGATATGGATTACAAAATGGAGGAGACGGGGGCGCACAATGGAACATGTGAGCGTGTGCATTTCTGAAAGACAAGATCATATTGGATGTCAGTTGATAATGGACCCAAAAAATGAATAATGCTAATGGATGCATAAGTGTGCATGCATTGATGGATGAAGGGGGGGGACAGGATGTGTATTTGTGTGCGCACATGTATATGAATGTTTGTTCGGGGCAATCTAGTCAACCAGACTCCATTTAGCTCATGTTTAAAAAAAAAAAATGTTTAGTGCTTTCCTGGACATGCTGTAAAAAGAATAAATCTTAAGATTAGAGGTGGTGTCGGGCTCCAGGAGTGAAATGCGTCACCACGACTCTCTTATCAATCGCTATTTTCAGCAATGTAGCATGAGCAGAAAGTGGCAACCGTTGAGGCGGGAATCAAAATTTCAAATTCATTTTTGTGTGACCTTCGACTCCTTTGTGCCACATGGGTTCATGTTAAATCCAAACTGTGAATGTTTTCAGAAAGGAAGCGGTAAAAAAAACAACTTAAAAAAAGCACTATGGGAAGCCACTTTGTTGGAAGACTCCACTGACACAGAGCACAGAGACTCTTCAAAACTTCTAACAAAGAGAAAAAAACTAAAAGAGAAAACTTGAAAGTACATATATATATATATATACATAAATATATATATATAGTATATATATATATAAAAAATAATGTTACTTGTCGCACCATGTGTTTCTGTTTTTCAAAGTTTTCTGGGGAATGATGTTAGGATCAAATGCAAAATATGAAATGTGTGATTTTTTGTTTTAGACAAAAAATCCGGATTAGAACAGAAAAATTGTTGATTATAACTAGGCAGTTAAAATAAAGATTTTAAAAAAAAATGACACTGAATAAGCACACGGCACAAAAACACACAAACTGGCAAGCACACACACATCCTAAAAACAGACACACAAAACACACACAGATGCCTATAAAACAGAGCCAACTACATTAATAATAATGACTTTTAACCATTAATGTTGTTTCCTTTCTGTTTTTATTTCATTTTGCCAAAGTCAATATTGTTCTATGGACTTGATATAAATAATAAAAATTACATGTATGAAACGGACTGGCTCGTTCACAAAAGGGGAGCGAAATGTTTGTCGTGGTTGTATGCAAATGTATTTTAAGAATTTATAGTACATTATCATCTGCGTAGCTTAGCACGGAGCTATATTTAAGACTATGAGAGCAGAAGTTGGATATAAAAGTGGAAAAAAATGCCAGCGCTTTTGGTTTTAGGTTGAATTTGGAGAGGAAATGTGAAGATGATTCAGTCTTGATGAAAATGTTTTGAGCTCAAGGCGAACTTGTGAGTCAAAGAAGCTTCGGTGTGCGCACGTCTGCCAGGCGAAAATGAAGTTGTTTACTTGTCAGTCAGTGGAGCTGATTAGAAGGTAAGGGTGCAGTAACCCTTCTCAAGGTAATTAAAAACAGCGTATAAGACAGAGTAAAATGGGACAAGAAAGCAGCGCATGAAAGCAAACTGATGGAAGGAAGGAGATCAATAGTTTCAGGGACAGAAATGCATTTAGAAAAACGGGGGGAACAAAAGGAGAGTAAACAAAAGATTTCAAAGAGCAGCTCTAATATGACAGCAAATAGGAACGAGAGCTGAAGTGACAACGGAGACAGAGCCGGAACTAAAAGCTTGACAGGCTAATGGATCATGGTTCTGATGCTTTGTTATTATCAACCACAGCTGCTGGTTTCAGACGGACTAATGCGAGACATTACGAGACCCCTTCCCTGCTACCTGCATCTGACTTTAACGCTAATTTGGCTGCAAAGCAAGATGTGAGCTGGCAGTAACCTGCAGCAGAGCATAGGTAATTAAACTGCTAAATATATAATTGAGAGGATGAAAAGACAACAGCAACTGGGAGAACACTAACCCAAAACATCAATTTATTTATCCGCTGACTGTATACGTGTCAGGGTGGCAACAGGTGAAGCCGGCACACGCATCCATCTGCTTGTTCCTGTCGTTTAGGTGCTTCTCTGAGCTTTTTTTTAAAGGCTGGATGGAAAACTTAATCCCTCTAGCGTGTTCTGGGTTTGCTTCCCGCTCCTGTCCCAGCTGGATGTAGCAAGAACACTTTAACAGCGAGGTGGTATGGGACACGGAAACCAAACAATGAGCTTAACGGGGATTGAATGCTGCATAGAGCTGCAGTCTGGTTGTTTATTCTCTGTTGGATCAGCAGAGTATTTCCATTAACTATCAAAGTTATGCAAAATGAAGCCTCAAATGTGTAAAAAAAAAAAAAAGGCGCAGATGTGGGCAGAAAGACAGTTAAAGAGGTGATTTTTTCGGTCTCATTGCGTTTCATCTCCCTCTCCTCGTGCATGTTTTCTGTTTCTATTAAGCCCTTTGCAGACGCTGCTAAACGCCCAAGATGGAGAGACATGCAGACAGAAAGAGAGAGAGAGGGGGGGAATGTGAGAGTGCTGACACACCTAGAGATAGACAAATAGATGATGATGAGCAAGGGAAAGAGGGAGAGAAGTGAAGGAAGGGGGGAGGTCATTGTGTTTTTAGCTTTCAGAGTGTTTCAGTGTGAGCCCCGGTGCGTATCCACGGCTGGATGTTTCCTAACGTGAGCGAGGGAGAGGACGGGAAACAAAATGTGTGTTGTTTCTGTCGTGCAAGTACAATTTATGACCAGATTATTTAACCACAAAGGGATCAGACAAGACTGGTGCGCGTGGAAAGGGTTAACATATTGTCTCTCGTCTCTTGAGCTTTAGACACCAGCCGCCGCCTGAGCAGAGTTCTAATTTGAGACCATCAACAGTGACAGGGGAAATAAAGCAGAGAGAGAGTGTGTGTGTGTGATAGCATGTGTGTCTGCAGACATCAGGTTGGAGGGCGATTTGATTTGAAACTCATAAGTAGCCACATTAAAAGCCAGAATGAGTCTGTGCTACAGTCACCTCTGAGAAACAGGCTTTGTGTATATGTGCGCTTACGTGTGACGGGCAAGAACAACACAGCGCAGAACAGCAGCCCTCCCTCTGCTTTCTTTGCCGTCGGCAAAACCCTGGCCCAATTTGACTAATTAAAAAAAAAATGCTGAGTAACGTGCACACATCCCCAGCCGCACACCAGATTACCTTTTAACACACACACACAGAGACACACACATGCATGGCAGGATAACCTTGTGGCAGCAGAGTTTGTGCTTTTCTGTGCGCATTTGTTTCGGGTGCATGTGTTTGTCTTCAAAGGCCACGTCTGCCTGTAGCCAAACTTCCTCTGACATTTGTAGTTATGATCAAGGTATGATGCATTTCCCCTGCAGAGGCGCTGAGTAACTGCTGACTCAGGATGCATCAGGACTCGGCACCTCCCGCGCTACAAACCAGTCGGACCAGTTGTGCAACACGCTAAACTGTGCCACGGCAGAAACAGCAGAAATCTGTCCAGCCGGCGCTGTCGAAAAAGGCGCCGCGATCATCGCAGCAGATTACGACTGCGAAGCCGTGACATTTCCAACAGCGGCTATGCAAATGCGCCACCGGCCCCGTAGTCTGAATTTATTAGCCAAACTCTTTTAATAAAGTCAAAGCAGGAACAATAAATGCAAAACAGAAAACAGCTGAGCAGACCTCAGGAGATGCACCCAGAGATCCTTTAAAACATGACTCAACCTTCCAACCGCTTGGCAGAGAGTCAAACTGATTTAATAAGTGCAGACTTTGCAACTTAGAGGGACACAAATCAACTTTAGGAGAGACGGCGGTGATATTGTAAAAGAAATGACCGGACAATAAAAACCGTATTTGCAGGAATTCATCATTAATGGACAGATACAGTATCATAAAGAAGATGCTTCTAATCGCTCCTGTTTAACGCTGTGACACTTTACAAGAC